TGTAACAGTGTCTTCGAGTGTACTTTACTCCATGGCAGCAGTGTAGCAATTTTTTCTTTTGAGCTTGCTTTCTTCAGTCCCTTCCACAGGCCTTAGGGCACACTACAGATTGAGGTTAGTGCATTTGGTTTTCACTGTGGCAAAATAAAACTAATGTAAGAGCCAGGCATGGTAGCATACGCCCTTAATCCCAGCACTTGAGAGGCAGAGGCAGGTAGATCTCTGTGAGTTCTAAGCCATCCTGGTCTATAGAGTGAGTCCCAGGCCCAGGGCTACATAGAGAAACTTTGTCTTGGGAACACCTCCTCCCCGAACAATACCACAACAAAAATCTAACATAAAATTTACCATGTTACTCATTTTAAGTGTCCCTTTCAGTGGCATTAACTGAATTTTGCCATCATCACTATCTACTTTTAGAGCTGCTTTCCTCATATAAAACTGAAACTACCAGCTAAAAAATAAACTTCCATTTCCAGCCCCCAGGACCACTCATCAGTTTTCTTTATGGTTTTAATTATTATAAACATTTCATGAAAGTAGAATCATACAGCATTTGTTCTGTTATAGCTGGCCTATTTAGCAGAAAATCTTTAGGGTCATTCATGTTTAGTGTCTACCAGAATTTCCTTCCTTTAAAAAGTGGTTGGTAAGAAGGGGACTTGTGCCATTTTGGTGTTGGTTTTATAGAGCTCTTGCAACTTCTGTTTATTTGCATTTGTGTGTATGCATCCGAGCATGCCTTTGCAGACACAGACATGAGAGGCAGCTTAGTGGGGAGGAAGTTCCCTCTTTCCACCTCATGGGTCTCAGGGATCGATCTCAAGCCACCAGGTTGACCAGCTGGCCCCACCTTAAAGCATTTTGTTTCATGTTTATTGTATCTTTGTCTTCTTTTCTATCTAGCTGATTTTTTTTATGTGTGTATGATGAAACCTTAGATTCCTTTAGTTTTCCTATTATGTAATTGTGCCTGTTTTCATTGTGGTCAACATGAAGCACACAGACTGTCCTGAAGTTCCAGCATTCTAATTGAGTTTTTAGCCGGGACGTGCCACTGTGTCCCTCTAAGTCTCCCTCCCCAGTCCTTGTACTTGTTCAAATCATAAGATTACATATTCATTTTATGTCCCAAAACAGAAGCATATAATTTAGTTTTGCTTTTGAAACAGGATTTATATAGCTCAAACTGTCCTTGAACTCCTGATCCTCCCACTGGAGTTACAGATGTGCAGCAATCACATTCAACTTGAATAACTGAATGTTTTATAAATATATTAGTCTGCTAAATATTCAGAAAAAAATTATAAATAGTTGTGAAAATAATAATCACTTTTATAACTGACTTTATGTATTTATATGTTTTCTTTATTCAGATCTTTATTTCCCTGAATGGCTTCAAGTTACTGTCCTCTCATTTCAGTGTGCAGTAACTTCAGCTAGTATTACTAGATGGCAGGTCTGGAGGTAATAGAAGTGATACTGAACCCAGACCCTCATGCATGCTTAGTACATACTCTACCTCTCAGCTATACTGCCAAGCCCCTAGCTCAGCTTTTTACCTCATAGTACCTACCTTCATTTATCCTTCATCTTCGAAGGATACTTTCTCAACATGGATTTGTAGAGCTTTAAAATCTCAGCCCTTGACCCACTGCCTTTTAACCTCCAGAACTTTTGATGAGAAGTTGCTTCTTTCTGGTTGTTCTCAAGACTCTTGACAGTTTGTGTGTCTTGGTTTGATGGTGTGTGATTGGGTTGCCTTGGGGTCATTCTGCTGGATATTATGTCTTGTTATTCATTAAATTTGGGGAGTCTCCAGCTGTTACTCAGGTAATCTCCACTTTCTTGTCCTTCTGCAACTCGTGTGGTGCCTCCATTGGCCGCCTTGCTGGCGCCTTGCCCTCTTCTTGAATATCTTATATGTGAGTCAGAGTCTTACTTTACAGTTTTCCTACTTTACAGTTTACTTTCTGCTTCTCACTGCTCAAATGTGCTTTTTAAAAATTTTTTTGTGTGTGTGCACAACCACTGCACTTACGTCTATGAGAGAGTCGGGTCCACTGGAATTTGAGTTACAGACCAGACAGTTGTGAGCTGCCATGTGGGTGCTGGGAATTGAACCAGGATCCTCTGGAAGAGCAGCCAATGCTCTTAACCACCGAGCCATCTCTCCACCCCCAGATTTCTAAAATAATTACATTCTATAGACTATTCCATTGCAGCTTTCTAGATGGAGGAGAAAAAAAAAAGTCCACAATACATACATCCTCTATTTAAAACCTTACATATTAATCAGCATCTTGTTCCTATAATCATTTACCAGAGACAGGTAATTTATAAGGAAATGGGATTAGAAGCTCACTGGAATTCCAGGTAGCATGGCACAAGGCCATGGCAAGTCCCGGCCTCCTTTGTCACGACACATGATAGCATGAGCACTGTGTCTCTACATATGCCTGTCTCCCTCCCATTGCTCACAAAACCACCAGGATTTAACCACAGAGGCTCTACTAATGATCTCATCTCATCTAGTCACTCATCTAGTCACTTCCCAAAGGGTGCACCTCTAAACACCACAGTCAGATTAAAGCTCCACCTTTTTGTTAATATTAGCATAAGACTTTATGAAGATGGTCCAGAGACAATCCATGCTACCATTTAAATTGATTATAAACCCAGCTGTGGTGACACACTTGAGAGACAGAGACAAAACAATCACAATTCAAGGCAATAATGACCTACACAGTGAGTTCCAGCCAGCCAGGATACATAGAGCCTCCCTCAGAAAACCATTTAAAACAAAAAACAACAACAACCAAAAAAACCTTGATTACTGCTAGACATGGTGGTAGTGATGGCATTCAGGAAGCTCTGAAGTAAGACAGCCTGACTGTATAGCAGAACCAGATCATAAATTTTTAAAAGTCTTATAACTAGTGTGCGTAAACTAGTATGTGTGCATGAATGCGTATATGTGTGTATGCATGCGTATGTTACATGATGGGTGTTCGAGGGATAGTGTTTGCCATAGTGTGTGTGTAGAGGTGAGGGACAACTTTGTGGAATGGGTTCTCTCTTTCCACCTTTTACATGGGTTCCAAGGATCAAGCTCAAGCCACCAGGCTATCATGGCAAGAGCATTTACCCACTGAGCCATCCCCCGGCCCCTCTTGGGACCAGGAATGATGGAAAACACACAAATAAGGTATGTTTGGCCAGGAATGATGGAAAGCTAGGAGATGGTGTAGATCTATAATCCCAGTACCTGGGAAGCTGAGGTCGACCTGGCCTGGGTCACAAACTGAGTTCCTGTCTAGTGTGAGCTACATAGGAAGACCCTGTCCAAAGAAACATTAACCAAAAGGTAAAAGACACAGCAGATACTGGTCTGTCCATTGTCACATACAGCATGTATGTGAAAGAGTAACTCAGTATCCTTTTAGTGTACTAAAGGTTTTGACATACTTGACATCATGATTTGGGATACTATGATTTTTACGCATGCTTAAAATGAAATTTTGAGGTCCTATCTCCAAAAAGAATTAATTTCTTCTCTATTCCTTTAAGGCTACGCAGATATAAAGTTCTAGGGAGTAGTAACTCTGACTCAGACCTTTTCTCTCGCCTGGCCCAAATTCTACAAAATGGATCTCAGAAATCCCGGAGTACTACTCAATGCAAGAGCCCAGGATCTCCTCACAATCCAAAAACACCACCCAAGAGTCCAGTTGTACCTCGAAGGAGTCCCAGTGCCTCTCCTCGAAGCTCATCCTTGCCTCGAACATCTAGTTCCTCACCATCTAGGGCTGGACGGCCCCACCATGAGCAGAGGAGTTCTTCCCCACATCTGGGGAGAAGCAAGTCGCCCCCCAGCCACTCAGGATCATCGTCCTCCAGGAGGTCCTGCCAACAGGAGCATTGCAGACCCAGCAAGAACAGCCCCAAAGGATCTGGCAGCCTCCACCACCATTCAGCCAGCTCAAAAACTCCCCCAGGGAAGAGTAAGCCAGCCAGTAAGCTCAGCAGATAGGAAGTGAGCGGGCTGTATCTCTGGGAAAGGTGTGAGGTCTTCCTCCTAGACCTGATGCATGTGTGTCCCTGTACTGTCTGTTTCAAACAATCAGTGTTGATCTTCTCTTGCAAAAGAAAGTAACATGATCAGTCATTTATAAGAAGACAGAGTGGAACTACCTAGTGCAGGTAGGAGCAGGTCAGGAGTCGATGCCTTTGCATAGGAAGCTTCAGTCCAGCAAAGTCCAAGGGAAAGAAACTCACTAAATGAGCTCATGTACAGCTGCCTTTGAAACAGAAAGTTGAAGATAGGAAATAGAAGGGGATTTTAAGTGATTTTACCTAATTTGTCAATCCTCTCCTCAAAAAGTATATAGCAAAAGTATTTGATATTTTTATTTAAAACTTCCTAACCTTGGAGAGTCATTGCGCAGACATTCAAATACATAAGAAGTCTATTGCCAGGAAACTATTACCTGGGTATATTTGGCTTGTGTGTTTATTTAGTGAACCACACCTTTCTTTCTTTCTTTCTTTCTTTCTTTCTTTCTTTCTTTCTTTCTT